TGAGAAGTATGCCGTCGGTTCAAAATTTTCTTCTAAGCAGAAGAGTGGGCTTATTTTATGGTGGGACATCATTAATAAAACGTGTAGACTTCCATGCAAAATAGCAAAAAAAAAAAAACAAAAAAAAACAAAACATTTATTTGTTGTTTGAACACGTTCGGAGTCAATCAGAGTATGTCTGGAGGTATATTTATAACTTCTTCTAGGGCTAGTCTAATGTATCTTTTCATAGGTGTGTTATTTGATTCATAAGCTAACATCAATAACTTATAAGGGATTTGGCATAACTTGCATGTATTCTACAAACTACGGCACACACAGCCAAAGATGTTCAGCGTATGAAAAGAATACTTCGTTTGTTGAGTTTTGATTACGAAGTGGACAGAAAAGGTACCTGGCAAAAAGATGGCCTAACGTGAGCCGTCACTCCAACGGGCCGAAGGCCCGTTTTCGGATAGAAGATGTATTACACCATAAAAATTCAGAAGGGACGGGCCGAAGGCCCGTCCCAAACGCCGTCGGCAGGCCAAGCTTGGCCCGCTCCCTGCCGAACAGAGTTGCCGGTGGAGCGAAGCGGATAATTTTAGATCTTTAACAATTCTTCAAGAAACAATTTGATGATCAAAATGTTTTTCCTTACCTAGAGCCACTAACTTGATAGAGTTAATGTGTGACCGAAGATGGTCAGGTAAGTTCAAGATAGAAAGATAAATAGCTAATAGTTTGTGGATACGTTTGGCCGAGCCAATTGCATTGACAATTTCAACTCCATCTTGATAGATTATTATCTTGATACACACGGGATTTTCTTGGAAAAATGTGTTATCTTTAAAAGCTTTTCCCATCAGTGACGTCAGTCAACAACCCATCAGTTCTTGATAGAGGTGGTTTTAAATCCAAGTTTAAGGACTTATCTTTAGTGAATGAATATTGAAGAGTCTTTTCAATATCCACATAATAAAAGAATGTTTTAACATTGCTGGTAATGCCTTTCTTGGTAATAGTCTTGACATATTCAATTTTTTCAGGATTGACAAAATGAAATGCCTTCTTATAGAAGTTTTTACGTTTATGAGGAGTCTTCCAATTTTGATCATACTGCTTTGTAAATGGGTCATTAGCAAATGCATACTTAAAAATGCGATTTACTTTGTCAATCGAGATGTTTTCTGACTGCAAAGTCTGCATTAACTCACTTCGATAAAACTCTTTGCTCTGAGATTGTATCTTAAATATTTCATCAACTGAAAATTGAACAGTCTTTTCAGGTACAAGGAAATGGAATTCCAACTTCATACAGAACTGAGCAAAACTCTTCATAAGGCAATCATCTTCATCTTCATTTTCATTTTGATCTTCAAACAGGGGATCAGTGTCAGTAACAGTAGATTCTGAGAACAAATCTTCCTCTTCATTACTAAAATTATTCTCAACTGCTCCTGCTTCAACCGCAGGAGTGACAGATGGTTTAGCACGATGTTTTTTAGATAGATGACCAGTGAATGAACCGAGATGGTTATATTCTTTAGAGCATGGATGATGAGGGCACTTGACAAAAACTTTCATGCGTATATGAGTCTTCAAATGTTTTAGCAGTTCAGGAAAACACTCAAACTCCTTTCTGCACGTTAACACAGAACAAAGGTATTTACCAAAATTATTTGGTGCTGGTGTTGAAGCTGAAGGTTGTGAATTCCTGACTTTGAGGTGATGGACACGAAGAGTGTGGAGTCTGAGCAGACGCTCTGTAGATAAAACACTTCGGCAGTCAGGGTAATAGCCACAGTAAAATCTGTGTCTATTAATGTGACGATGGTGATAATGGTGGCTGAGATGTTCCGTGAAGTTAGTCGTTGAGAACGTACAAAAAAAGCAGCGCAACTGGGCAGCTGTATAAACCAAACAAAAAAAAATTAAAATAGGTTATACAGCATGTGCCTTGCCAATCACAGTAAGCTCAGTCAAGTGTTGTAACGTCAGGAAAATAAATAATTCAATGAACTTACACATGGTAATAGGCACACTGCTGGGCGTCTCTCTCCATGCAGCATAGTTAACATCAACACTGAAATCAAGAAGTAGAAATGAGTAACAAAGTTATTAATAATAAAGCAATAGCTGACAACAAAACACGTTGCAGGCGCTATCATTGTTATCATTTATGTATTGACACGTTATTTCATTGAGGGGAGACCTAAACACTCACCACGTCTGCAGGATCACAATCCCGTACAGCATCAGTTGGAAATAAGGATATGCACTTTATGCGTTTTCAAACTGCCAATTATGCTCTCAAAAATGTCACTTTTATGCGGTGATTATGCTTTAAAATTTTCCAAATATGCTCTCTTTATGCCACGTTTTCTACCCAATTATGCGTTTTTATGCTTTTTGGTGTTTTCTTTCTTAATGTTACTGCTTCTTAAAAAGTTCTTTTTTGCGTTTCCTACTAAATTATGCTTTTATATTCGTTTTGCGTTCACACATTGCAAACATTTACATTAATATAAGTATGCGGTATGAAAGGAAGGCCAAAATTGGTAAGACAATTTCAATTGTCGGATCAAAATGTGCGGTAAAATGCGCAAAATATTAAAACCAATTGCAAAATACAACCGTTTTTAATACAACCCTTTTCCTTGCAATTATGCTCAAATTATGCGAAAATGCCTCCATGCTGCGATTTTGAGAAATTATGCGTTTTCGATGCTCTTCGGATTTGGATCGAGGGGTGACAACAGAGCTAACCAGTTGATTCCCCGTCCATTTCAGTGAAGTTTCGAAAATTATGCGATTATGCGAAAGCATAAAGTGCACATCCTTAGTTGGAAACCCATGAGTTTCTGCCACGCATCGCCCGATTACGATGAACTGCAATACCAGAGAAAGATGATACGAATAAGAAGAGGTCCATACAAAAGCACAGTTTGCTCGGCGTGCTCGGATTTAATTGACGCACAATTTAAATGGATAGCACGGCCTGAAATCACAGTTGTTTCCGGTCAGAATGGCGTAATCGGATTGTTGAAATTCGCGATTTGTGAAATTCGTGTAGTTGGCAAAACCCACATGAACGCGTTGTTACAGCCCCGAAAGGGACGAGCACAGTTTTTATTGCCTAGACGGTTCATAAGCACAGTTTAAGTTTTTCAGGGTGCTCGGATTTAATTGTGAGTCACTGGGTCCCGCTGGCCTTGTTTACTGGGGCCTTCGCTTCAAATGTGCGGTTTTGACGGTTACTTTTGCAACGTGCGTGGACGCACAAATCAAACGGATAGCACGGCCTGAGAGCAGAGTTTTTTTTTCGGTTAGAATGGCGTAATCAGATTGCTGAAATTTGCGATCGGTCCCGACGACCTTGTTTACCCAGGCCTCTGCGTCAAATCACGTTTTTGATGGTGCCTTTGAATACTTGCCATTGACGCACAATTTAAACGAATAGCACGTGCTGAAAGCAGAGTTTTTTTCGGTCCAGAATGGCGTTATCGAAATGTTGACATTCGCGATGGGTCCCGCTGTCGTGAAGTTGGCGGGGCCCATGTAAACGCGTCGTTACCGCCTTTAACAACGACCATTCACCTGTCATCTGCCATAAGTATGTAGGTCATCAAATTTCCAAAAACCACTTTTTAAGACCAAACTGACCAGAAACATGTTCTACACCCAGTGCAAATGGAATTTTGGGAAAATTCCCCATAGGTAGCCATAGGCGGACATGGTGCAAAAGTACGCATGTCATTTGTCATCTGACAAAAGTACGTATGTCAGATGACATGCGCACTTTTGTTCAGATTATGACTGACATGCGCACCTTCTGTCAGATGACGATGACATGCGTTCTTTTGTCAGATGAGACCTCTGGTGACATTCGCATGTTAGTCAGATGACAAAGACATGCGTACAATTTGTCAGATGACGCTGACATACGCGTATTTAATCAACAGGTCAGGCTGATTGGATTTAACAGAGGATACTAATTCAGCAGATAGGGGACAGAACAAATATGATTGTGGGCACTATTCTAGACTATTATTTGCTGTTTTGTGAGGTCCCAATTGATTTACCTTGAGATGAGGTTGTGAACTGTATTCCTTGGTTGCCATAGTGAGGAGAAAAATAACGCAAACCACATTTATCACAATGTTAAGGAAGACAACACCACGCCTTTATGTGGTTATGACAATAGAGTATGAATTCAAAGAAAAGCAGTGCGAATTCCACGTGTCGAACCGAGATGACAATCAAGGATACAATTTCAATTAATATCCACTAAAGTCAAAGCCTCGGCCAGACGACTCGACCATAAACAAAACATCTTTTCACCACTTTCCCTTTCTGCTGGCTATCGCTTACTGGCACTTCGCGCTGGGCGTGCGGATAACGGTTCCGATGTGTGCCTTATGAGACCAAGAACAACATAGTGGATGGTGGACAGTCGATGACACTTCTTACCGTTTCGAATGTTTTGTGTTTGGTGTTTCGTCCTGACAGTGACCAAGACATGGCTCGCGAGTATTTACCACCCTTTTCCCAGCCAGCCTGCCATCATCAACTAGTGCAAGATTTAGCTCGAGATTTCGTGTTTTCTTGTGTATTGCACCAGTATGAGTGGAGTGAAATAACCAAGGAATACAGTTTACAGCCTTATCTCAAGGTGGGACACAATCACATTTGTTCTGTCCTCTATCTGCTGAATTAGTATCCTCTGTTAAATCCAATCAGCCTCACTTGTTGATTAAATACGCGTATGTCAGCGTCATCTGACAAATTGTACGCATGTCTTTGTCATCTGACTAACATGCGCATGTCACCAGAGGTCTCATCTGACAAAAGAACGCATGTCATCGTCATCTGACAGAAAGTGCGCATGTCAGTCATAATCTGAACAAAAGTGCGCATGTCATCTGACAT